GCTAGTTTTGCTCCCCCCCCACCCCCCCCCCCCCCTGACGCTCTCCCCACTACAGCAGCTGTCAACTCTGATCAGGCGCATGCGCACTGCGTATTTGTCGCGCAGTTGTCTTGCCAGGTGCCCGAAATTGATTGGCTAGACTTCCCCCCTTATCCCCGCCCCTTAGTAACAGCCTCCGTGCAAGCGTGGATTGGTTGCTATGTAAACACTGCAGTAAAGATGGCGGCCTCTAGGAAAGTGCTCAGAATGTCTCACCAATACGTGGGTGATGTGAAGAAGCAGCTCCGGCACGGTAATAAAAGAGAGAGGGTGATGTAAAGCGGGGCGGCATTGTGATGTATTAAAAAGCTCCAAATAGAAAATTTTATTTTATGTTGGATATCGCTGGGTATGGTATGGTTGGATTTCTTTAACAGTCTTACTAGTTATTATGTTCAGGGAATATCAAATTGTTTTTTATGCTTTACAGCGTATTGATGAGCTGACCCTTTTCATTTAAAGGGAAACTTTCATTTTGTGCCAGGTCCACTTATTCAATAAAGGCTTCTCCATCTTAATCTGCTGCACAAAAAAATAACCTTGGGGGGAAAAAAAGTTATTATTATTATTATTAATAATATTGTTATTATTATACATACCTTTTCTCTTTTTTTCAGGGGGTGACCTCACCATCCTTCCGACGAGATCCCGTGTAATGCAGAGTATGCAAAATCTCGTATACAGCACACTGCAGTAGTGCCTTTATGTTACATAGGAGCTACTCAGCAGTCCCCAGATCTCTTTGAAAGAATGGTGATTTTACCCACAGAAGAAGAAAAGAACCCCAGGATCTTCAAAAAAGTTAACCCCGGCAGTGGGGCTACCCCGGCATTGCAAGGGCTATCTGCTCATTTTAGAATGAGATATACTCATCTGATCCTCAGCCCTTTGGTCTCCCCCTTTGCTCTAGCTGTGGTATATCCCTTGGTGTCTTCACATCTCCTAGACCTGTTAGACGTGATAATGTCACGGGTCCTTAGACTGCCAGAGATCAGGGGAGGAGAGGCTGTGGGGATCCATCTAGCAGCCAGACAGGATTAAGGATCAGGTAAGCATATTTTCTTTATTTGCGACCCCAGACTAACACAAGTAGTTAACCCTTGCAGTGCAGGGTGAGCCCCACTTCGATGGTTAACTTTTGGAAATCCTGGAGTTCCTTCTCCCCCCCCCCCCCCCCCCCCCCCCGGGTTTGGGGGGGGG